CTTAATCAAAAGAAAATCGCTTTGATTCTAGAAAAGGGGTGGGATTATCGACTTTCTTGTCATTACTGATATTTTTATTAATAATTATTTAGTTTTAGTTCTCAGAATTAAAAATCTGGAAATGTTTTAATGAAAAATATTCCAACTAAGTATGAACCAGTTATGTTAATAAGTGTTGTAATATTGGGTAGGTAAAAATAATATTTATATGCCATACCATTTACAAAGAAGACTCCAAAAAATAGTGAGCAACGACATATTAGTTTAATATGTTTATAAAGAATCATTGCTCCATGAGGCTAGTAATTATCAATGTGACTTCCAAAGATTAATTTGCTGAAAGAGTAACCTACTAACTTCGACTGAAACAAATCTACAAAAACAAATCTCTAATATACATATTTCAGGTGTGTTTTTTATAGCATGAACAAGTAAAAAAGGTCCTAAACTTAATACACCCTCTTCGGGGTATAAAATATTACATTTATGGCAGGCATTATTCGCTTGTCTCGGAAAAATGTAGGATTGTGAAGCATCTCATAACTTGGCACTGGATCATACGAATTCAATAAATCACGGTTCATTCGATAAATAACAAATTTCCAATAGTTCCCACAATTGGCTTTACTGAATTTTAAATTTTAATTTGTTTGAAACAGTTTGAAGAAAATAATTTGTTTGTTTTGTTTTTTTTTTTTTTTTTGTGTTGTAAAATATAATTTTTTAACAATATACGCTTTTCCTTGTAAATACTGTAGATAAATATTTTTCAAAATTTTTAAACGATGAAGGGCATTAAAAATGTTTGTTTTAAGAAAATCGTTTTAAGGTGTTAGGTACTAAAAAATGTAAAACGTAGATATAAAAGCACTCATAACTGCGTAAAATTTGACACAATCGTAAAAAAGAATTAGTTGCAGAGCAATTCAACAATTACAATTTTTTAATAGTTTGCCATTTACTGTAAAGGATATTTTCGGTTTATTACCTTTTCATAAAATTTTAATAATTGGATATGGGGACGTTAATTTAAAGTACAAATAGTTATTCCCTTCGCTATTTATCATTTATTATTTTTTTTTTTAGCATTTTTTGAGAATATTTTTTGCATATAGTATGTACAAACCCATTCATTTAAGTATATAGAAATATTTTTTATTATATTATGTATTATTCAGTAGAATTATTTGTTGCCTGCTTATATACCCACTCGCATACCAACGCACCTCGCTATGTGCTGTCCAGCATTTGTATTTGGTTGGCTAAATCCTTCGTACGGCACCTAATCGCATGTAATGCGCGCGCATTATCTGCTCTCTTAACTACAACAACGCACACGAAGCTAAACAACAACAATTATAACAAAATCTCAAATAAATTGTAACAAAGTTGTAGCATCAACAATCGGGAAAAGGACCAACAAGCTACATTGCACATTGCTACTAAACCTGAAATCGTGCAAATACCTAGCACACCCAACATAGGTATATGTATAAGCATATGTACGCCAAAGAACATCAAGGAAAAATGAGACAACCAAAAATAGTGCGCAGGAGTGGGTGTTGCTTTAGCTTTATTTTGTATGCATTCGCATTGCTGTCGGACGACCTACAATACTTCAACGCAAATTTCGCCAACACAAAACCAACAACAATTGACGCCCAACACTTTCAACGCCAACGCTAATGCCGCCGCCACCATTGCCAATGCCACTTTGGCAAACACTACAACGAATTATCAAATAGCGCTTGTGTATCCGTTGACTCTTTCGCACTCGCATAATCGGCATTTCCGTCGGTTGGGTTAGGGTGGTTGAAACCGGAATCCAAAAATCCACCCATTCATCCATCCATTCGGTTGTTTAGCAGCGCAATAGCGGACTCTTTCGTCGGGCGCGCAAATCCAAACGAATAAGCAGCTGCGAGAGTGGCGTATGCAAAGCGGCCGAACAGGTGTAGTGGGAAGTTGTTGAGAGCAAAAAAACAAAAACAAAAAAAAAAAAAGACAAATGAGATTTCGTTGGTCTGCCACCATAAAATGTATATAAAATTAATATTATTTAAATTATTTATTTAAGTACGTAAACTAAATTATTTTTAGCAACAAATAAAAAATAATTTTTTTATGCGCATTGTTTTATTGATTGAGCAATTTTGTTTTTTTTGTGCTTTAATTTGTTGTTAATGCCATTTCGTTCTCCCTTATCAGTTTGACGGAATTTGCAAATGTGTGTGTGCTCTTGAGTTCAAGCTCTCTTATGGCGCTTACTTTCGCTCAGAACTGTCGTCGTATGCATGTGGTTTGTTTTGAATATGTCTCACAAAAACATATGCACAGTTGAGAGAGTAACTGAAAAAGCCGGTCTCAATAAAAACGTATACACTCTCCGCATTGTTAAAGGAAGGATTATGAATTCAATTGCAATTATATCCTTACATGCATGGAGTATGTATGATTATTGGAATATTATCTATTTATTTACACAATTTTTCAGACACTTAAATAGTAATATTATATGTTCGTTGCGAAATAATATAAAACTTGCAGTGAATGCTTTCTACAGTTTGCAAATTGAGTTGAGCCTCGGACTTAATGTCTCGAATAAGCTCATTCCGTCCTTGAATTCTTATTATCGATCGTTTCAAAAACTAGAAGTTTGGGAAATAGCCGAAATATACTACTATGAGCCAAAAATAGTAATAATTTCTTCATAATTTTAAAATTCTTAATTCATTATTCAAAATCTAAAAGTTTGGTCGGTCGGATGGAATTCGGAGTGCACCACACCACGATAATCGAAGAAACTGTCAAAAATCCTTGATTTTTGACCTAATTTAACGTGTTTTTTTAAGCTTCGGCTAACCTTTGCCACGAAACTCGGCCGATTGATTATTTGTTGTCGGTTCGTAAACATAGATAGAAAAATTCATCACTAGTAATAACACCTTTCACGACATCCTGGTTTTCCGCCTACCAGATCGTTTCAGAGACGTTAACAGGATGTTGTTTTTAGAAAAAAATGAGTGATTTTGCAGCCAATTGTGGTTTACTTTTCTTAGAGCTAAATAGTCTTTCAAAACGGTTTTCCTAAACCTTTTGATATTCCAACGATGCTAGTAAGATTTGACTTTTTATCGTCGATTGTCCAGCACCAATTCCTTTAGTTTATTGATGTGTTGATCATCAGTTAGTGTTGATGGCCCTCCTGGAAGTTGTTCGTCGTCAACACGTTCTCGACACTTTGAATAATTTATACCAATCAAAAAACTTGCTCGCGACAAACAATAATCACCGAAGGGCTGTTTCAACATTTTGAAACTTTCGGCACCAGAAATTTGATTCCGATACAAAAATTAATGGAACTTCTTTTTCGAATAATTTCAGACATCGAAAAAATTGCCAAAAGCACTTTATGTACTCCAGAAAGCCAAACGTATACTAAACAGAAATTATTATTTTGGTATGAAATTTGGCACAGAAGTCAGGGAGAGTCATACCAATTGCCTTTAATATTTTTAACAAATATTACTTAAATTTCCTCAAGTGTTCCTCATGTCCTCGATAAATTTCGTATATAATTTTAAACTCATTTTGATAAAATCGATTACTTGAAAATGACGGAAGAAGAAGGAATTTAAACATCATCGAAAAATCTAGCATCACCTTAATCCTTAGACCAATATGAAACCGGTGGTACGTTTTCTACAATATTTATTGTAACAGTTTGTGATCATAATTTCATTCTTTCGATAGATAATTTTAATAAATCCACTGACTTTCTTGTCCCTAGTGCTGTTATCTGCGATATTTCTCCCTTATGAGATGCAGTTTCAAATAGTAATGAATGAAAATAATGTTAAAAATAATAATTAAATGAATTAAAATTATAGCCAACCAAACGTTTTTGAGAATTTCTGTAAAGAGGAATTTTATTTAATAATTTAATAAAAAAAACCATATTTATATAATTTAATATAGTTTAATAAAAAATCTGGATTAGCTTGATTCTGAAGACGATCGCCAATAAGAGCTCCGAAAATGAAGTTTTTTCTGAATTAACCTGTCTGATGTCTTAAGAACAAAAATGGTCTTATTACTATAAATCAATGCAGGTGATACATAGATGAACTACTAAAAAATTTTGATTATCGATAAAATGGCTTTTTCCCAAGAAAGCTCGATTCTTAAACTTCAGAGTAGCTAAAAAATAAGATATTATTATCAAAAATCTTACTACTACGATAATTACTCCTCACCGACTCTGGAAACATCATTTTAGGAATGATCGATGTTTTTAATTTATTTACAATCTTGACTGCTGAATTGAATTTGGATTTTTTTCATGCTGCATGTCTTTAAAAATATGCTCGTGGTCGAAAATATGAAAAGTTGTGAACATATTTCTAATTAAAATATTTTTTTAGGAAATTCTTTAAAAGGGTTATGAAGACAGTACTAAGGTTTAGAAATTTTAGAAAATAACAAACCTGGTCTACTTTGAGAAATACTCGTTGCTTAGCCAAAACTAGAACTTAAAAAGCATGTAGTTCATGCTAAATTTGTATGCTCATGGAAAAAATCAATTGTCGACATAAAATGGCGAAATATGCTATATTTCGGCAAACTAAACCTAATCAAATAGCTTGTTAAAGTTAGCCAGCTAGAAAACAAGGACCCAGTTCACAGAAAGTATTAGTAACTCAACCAAGCAATGCAATAGAAACAACGGTTGGGAGAGTTTGCGAGAGTTTGACGAATTTCTGAGGCCAAAGTGTATGAGTATGTGTAGAGCGCATACCACTACAGAGAAAGGCAAAATTTCGAGAGCGCCATCATGAACACCACTACAAATGCAACAAAATTCAGAGAGCAAATACGACACACACACACGAGTGCACGTCAACGCACACACGCACACAAACCAAACAATGTGTGCTGAAAGGTAAATTGAGGTGAATTGTTGAGAGCGCAAAACAGAATCAGTTGTGCGGCAACTGACAGTGTAGAAGGATGTTATGTTGCTCGATTTTCTTACGATATAAGCACTGATAAATCTAGTAAACAAAACAATAGAACAAATCGAACATTAACAGCAAGTTAAATGCGTGCATATGCACAAGTGCACACACGTGAAATAGATAAATAATAAATTGAACGAAAAATTATTACACACAATCGAATACAATTAATGTTTATGGACAGGGGATGGGGCGGAGACGGCATGTCGTCAATGGTGGCATACGAACATCATACTACAAATTGAAGTGTGTGGATGATATGATGCGGCATTAGAAATCAGTGTTAATAACAACAATTACAACACCAACAGCAATAATAACAGCAAAACAAATAAATCGTCAATACGAATTAAGCGTCGGTCGAAAAAGGGGGCTGGCGGTGCTGTGCTTACTGGAGGTGCTGACAGTGGGGACACTGGAGTAGTGCTTATCATTGTGGCAATTGACATTGCATGTTGACAGTCAGTCGTTGAATGGCGCCCGATCAAGTGTGAAGCGTGCGTGTCGATAAACGGACGGACAGAATAGTGAATCCAAGCAAATAAAGAATTAGCGTAACGCGTAACACAGCGAATAAAGTCGAAAACGGCAAACAATAGTGAAGTGAATTTGCAGAGAATAATAGAAAAACTAGATAAAATAGTACGTTATAATATATTGCAAAAAATAAAAAAACTTTTGCGCTGATTGCTAGTCGTTTTCTAGTTCCTATTCCAAGCCATTTTTAAGCAAGTGCAAACAATTGAAAATTATAAAAATAAAAAAAAATATAAAAAATTCTGTGAAATTCGCAAAACGCCAACTGTGTGCACTCACGGCATTTACAAGCTACCTCAAAGTCTATGCCGCGACATGTCGATTTGCGTTCACAAGCCAGCTCGCAGTAAAACTAATAAGAAAGCACGTCATTAAGCGTCCAGCAATCAACAAATCTAACTTTATCAACAGCCGGCCAACAGTTCTAAATGCATCACTGCTTTTGACTCGTTAGGCGCGTTAGTTACGCTTCTGCCACGGACTTTGTATGCGCGTCGCGCCTTCAAGAAGTTGCTGCCAAAGCTAGGCAAATCTAAGCAAATACTTACATACGCTAAATTCAGTGCAATCACACACCCCCCGTCACATGAAATACACTGTAAAGATCCTGTCTGCCACCGCTTACCGCTTGAGCAATGAACTGCTAATGATGCCGCGTCAACGCCGCTGCCAACAATCAATCAAGCGCGCAACCATATTTTCAATAGTTATAATAGAAGTTGCTGAGGAGTTATATAATAACGGCGCATAGTTCCTAACTAGCGTTCTAATGCTTCAACACGATCGCCAATGGTCAAGCGCCAATGACTTTTCAAAGATTGCACTCATTTTCAATAATCGCGCGTTGTAACTAGTGCATGTGGTGTGTGTCTAATTGGCAATGAGAAATTTTTAAAATCAAATATTATATACGTATGTATGTACATGATCAGAAATACGTTGCTAAAGAAGCTTTTTGCAAAACAATAGTGTCACTGCAGTACAATAAGATGTTTTGATCGAAGAATCAGTTTCAATAAGTGCCGTGTTAAAAAAAAAAATTGTTAAAAGATAATATATAAACCTTCTTTAGAAAAAAACTTAAAGTTAGAAAACTTGAAAGTCGCTACTGAAGTGAGAATTTGTTAAGTATGGATTTCCAAAGTGCTATGGAAACATTTGCAGAGGCTTGGGTGGCCGCCAATGCTGGACCACAGGTGAGTTTTCAGGCTAAAATGTAGAAAAGAAGCAGGGTATATGAATTTTAAAGAAATAGAAATTAATACACTTGTTATCAGAAAACCTTTATTTTTCCATTTATTTAAGTTAGTGTTTAAATATCTACGTGCAATAGTCTCAACTAACTAAACAATATTTGGCCTATCCCAGCATAATTTTACAATTTTTAAAGCGCTAATTTAAACTTAAAGTAATTTGGTAATTAATTATCGTAATTTTATTTCGTTAAATGATAACAATAGGTGTTCTCAGTTGCTTATATACAAAACTATAACCATAAAATGCTATCAGCGCACAAATTTCATGTAAAGAGAAAAGAAATTTCTTCTCTCTCGGCTCACACGATTTTAATGCTTAGTAATGTCATAATAGTTTTGATAATAAATCTGGAAAATATATAGTTGGTTGTCTTTTTATGATTTAACTCGGCTTGTAAATAAATATAACGCCGCGCTCACCCAGCTTAGCCATATAGAATATAGAAGCCACAATAATAATAAATGTATAATAAACTTAAATAAAGAAAAATTGTTAAAATAATCTTTGTAAAACTGAATTTGCTCAAGTTTTTTTTTTTTTTTTTTTTTAAACATATTCTTTCTTGGTATTCTTATAACTTCAGAAGTGTTAGTAAAATCTTATAAGTGGAATTGAACAGTACCCGCAAACATTTCTGATATGTATTACCATACATGACGACAAAAAAGCACCCGAAAGTTGTAAATAAATCACGAAATATTTAATTATTCATCAATATTTATTTTGTCGCCTTCAAAGTGATCCCCACCAGATACAATGCAATTATGCCAACGTTTTTTCCAGTCCTAGAAACGATGTTTTCTAAACCACTTTTTGGGAAGGCCTTCAGCTCCTTCAGCGAATTTTATCTATCCAATGGATTGAAAACGGGTTTCATTCCGAAGATTGTTGACTTTTTTGCACGTCTAACTCATAAACCCATGTCTCATCGGTAGTTATCTGCTCCATGAATGTGGGGTCGAAATTCTCACAATTAACCATGTCTTGTTCACGCTACTCTTTTTGAAAAAAAAAAACAGCTTTATCTGAGCGAGTCGAGCGTTTCATATCCACAATATCAACTAAAATAATTTGAACGGACTCAGACTTTTTTGTCACAATGTATAATGTTTGTTCTAAGTTAGCTTTAGCAGCAGAAAAGGTCGCATGGGTCAACACCAGATGGAAAGAATCGTAGCTTTCATTAATCCATTATCGTTTATATATTTTCTCTAGTATATAAAATTTTTAAATACAAATGAACAGGATTAAAACTTAACACAGGGTTAAAAAAATGTTTTGTTTAAAAACAAAATTTAAAACTAAGAATAAACATTTTTTTGAACTTTTAATTGTATGGGTTCAAATTTTTTTCAAACCGGTATTTTTTAAAAATTAAAAGTATTTTTAATGCGGTTTTTTATTAAAACCATTATTATGAGCATTTAAATTGCGTTAGCTGCCAATATTTATGTTAAATTATTATTACAATTTCAATTAATTTTGCTTTTTAATTATTTACAATTTCAATAATTATATACTTTTATAAAAACAAGTGTTCAAATATTTCCTCAGGCTGACTATAATGCTTATCTGTGGAGTAGCAATTATCAATATAAATCTAGTTGCGTAAAAAGCATTCTTGCGATACTTTAAGAAGTGAAGTACCCAAATTAACATATACATACAAACACTCTTGCTTCTATGCTTCTCCATCAATGCGAATTTTTGTACAGATAACAGAGATAACCTCAGACTGAATGTCTCCTACGGTGATATGTGTCCACAAGTCGGTAAATCTGTGAAAGACGCTAGAGCTAACGATTCATAGTTACTTATTATGTATGAATGTATACGTATGTATGTATCTATGTATATACTAGAAAATATTTATTTATGCATTTTTGCTATAATATAGCTAAGTTTACTCCAAAAATGAAAATTGAAAATGCCGACGGCGAATTATTTCAGAAATTTGAAAAGAAAAATTTTGTTTTTTCACGTTGGAATATATTATTTTTATAATTTTGTAAAAATTATTGTTGTTAATTTCAGCTATAAATTGTCTTAATTCGCACCTAGCCTTTAATTAACGCCTTGAGCAAAATAGCGGTGTTTTGTGCCTTAACTCATTGTTTTTTTTTGTGTTTTTGAGAGAGCAAAAATAATACTCACAAGCATATGAATGCATTACAAAGTCAGCATTGCAAACAAAGCAAATCTTTGACTTACCCAGCTTAAACCCGAATATACACACTTGTGCACACAAGCCCGTGCAGGTGTGTAAACACCACTCACACAAACGCACGCTGAAATAAAAATAACAAAATAACAATTTACAGCTCACGCAACGCCAACAAAACCAAAATCTAAGTAAATTAAGCGTGTGTTGTTGTTTTTATGTGCGTGTGCGTTTTTTCGCTTTGTTTCAACTCTGCCTCACCGACAACCAAATAAAGGTGAAAATGAAAATAATTGCTTTATGTTGTATATATATATATGTATATATGTATGTGTGTGAGTTCGTTGCAGATAGCTTTGTGTACCGTTATGCGACTATTAGCGCAGATTACGGTAATCCTTATCAGGCAGTCCGTTGTCCAAAACAAACATTGGCTTTCAGAGTAAGAAGCAAGCGACGTGTGTGGGTGGCAATAGGCATTGTGGTTTCAGTTTAACTGTTAATTGGCGTGTGTTGTCTCAAAGACGTTCACACACTCAAACAGTTGTACACACACAAAGATGAGGAGTTGCGTGGTAAAGCAGAAACGCATGCCCACTTTACATAGTGGATAAAGAGATCAAAGCTAAAATTAAGTGTTCTCAGTTCGAAATCAAGAAATATATATGACAATAAAAACAAAAACAAAAACGTAAATATATACATATATATAACAATAAATATTATGCGTACATAATACTACCGCTATCAGTAGTAATTATCTTCCGGGTCATTGCCAAAGTGCAAAAATGTTAGGATAATTAAAGCAAACATTAGGAACAGTGGATTACAATAGTACTGTGCACTGAATTATGTTGCACATACTTATCATACGAATATTCATTGTTAATGAGTACCAGCTCTTATGGGAAAATAAGTAATTCATTAATTTATTAACGTCACTTTGCTTCTCGCTGCATTACCCAGCCTAAGCAGTATTAAAAACAGATAATTGTTTATGGTATTAATTAAATTGTAATTAGCAGATAAATACCAGTTGGCCGCAAAACTCGAGCAGTTATGTGCGCGACTATCGGTTGGTATGACGCAGGTTGGTATTTTGATACGAGTAAAAGTAATAAAAATGTGTATTAAAAAAACAATTTTTTTTTGGAAAAGAATTTCAAAGAACAACTTGAAAGCTAGTGCTAAGCTTCTGTGCGTTATACTAGATATCTAAATTTTGAAAAAAAATATAATTTTGACATTTGAAATGTTTGAAACACGTACACCCATCGCACCACAGCTGCATTTTTTATACCAAAAAGGGTATAAAAAGATTTTTTATAGACTTTGAATAGTGAAATCGGTGATTATGGCATTGTCTTCGAAAATAATTGATGCAAAATTCCATGAAGATATCTGGGCATTAAAAATGTATCTATACAAGTACTTGAGTTTTAAGCGGTTATATTGGTGTCCTCGTGTAAAAAGCAGCCTTCATTAAGGATTTTTTTTTTTCATATACAAAATTAAATATTTTATTAGAATTCTCTGTTTTTATAAATCTGAACTATTAACAAAAAAATTCTGAAATAAAACAAAAAAATTGAAAAAAAAAATTTTTTTCAAACAGGTCTTTAAAAATTGTATCTTAAAGACCTGTGTAAAATTGCATGAACTTCGGTTGAGTAGGTCTCGAGAAATCTTACTAACCGACTTCAAAAACACAGTTTAGAGCAAAGCCCGTTTATAGACGAAGCACTTTGTCTATCATAGCTTTGAGCTCTCAAGTTTTCAAGGCTGTATATCCGGAACTATAACTCGGATCAACTTGAAAATTTAGCAGAATATTCTAGATGTGTTGTAGAATTTATTTGGAAAATAAAAAAAAAATTAAATTTTTTGAAATCCATAAGCCCATGTAATCTCTCAAGTTCTGTTTATATGGGAACTATTGTATAGTCTACAGTGGTTCGATATTGGAAGTACTGAAAAAGGAGCAGCTTCTTGGAGAGAAAAAAACGTATGTAAAATTCCAGATAGATATCTCAAAGTCTAAGAGACTAATAGCGGGATTCTGTAACCAGTCTCTAGTCTCTATTTGAGACATTTTGTGGTAAAATCTCAATTTGTGACTAGTTACTATTCACTAAACAGTCTCTAGCTTTAGTCTCAACATATTATCTCAAATTTGAGACCTGGTAGCTAGCAAGTCACAAAACCAAAAAGAACTCTTGTCTGCCATTTTGAATATACTGAATAGAGATCACCATAGATATTAATCGATTGTCGTTTTTTTATATTTTGTAAGTAACTCAAACAAGAAAAGGTTAAAAATAAATAAATTTACATAAATTTCGTTAATATTATGAAACAAAGTCAACATATTTTTTTATTTTTTATTGATAATTATGTTTTTTGACTATGTTGTAGAAAATTGCTTATTTGTTATTGACATATTTATTTTCATTCAAGTATAAAAACCTCTCTGAATAATGAAATGTAATAGAGTTTGTGACTATGACTTACAGAATAGCAAAATCGTCTCAAGTCTCAAAAATTGTCTCTGTCAAATTTAGAGACTTGATACTGTATCACAGTACAGAATCGCACTTACCGTGCATACGCATAGTGACAGACAGACAAGGCTATGCCGACTGCTAATTATTTATATGTGGAACCAACCAAAATTTACATTCAAAATTTTTATTTCATGCGAAACATTATTTTCTTTTTTTTTTTCATTTATAAGTTCTCAAACGATTCCTTCTGTGTATTACGACTTCGTTCCAAACT